AGATTTGTGTTATCAGGAACAAGTCTTACTCTGTATCTTGGTTCTACTTCCCAGGACAATGGATTCTCATATTTCATATGGTGGCAAAAGAGCTGCTAGGAGCGCCAGGCCTCTATCCATCCAGATTTGAGCCAGATAGCAAAGAAAGCATGCTTTGTTTTCTCTCTTAATAATTGATAATAAGGTTCCTAGCCTAATTATGATTGCCCCAGATTGGGTCACATGCCATATTTGAACCCATCACTCTCCGGGGGAGGCAGTTCTTTGACTAGTTAGATCTGAGTCCCATGCGCCACCCTTGGAGCTAGTGGTGAAATGTGCATGTTCAAAGGCACGACTTCATCCAGGATAAGAGAGGAGCTGTGAAAACAGAAGGTGGTATGGTTATTGGGGCTACATAATACAATACATATTCACTAAGAACCCTGTATCAGTGCCACCCCAAATTTCTTGTAGTAAAAAAAAACTGCAGGGAGCCAGGGATTTAGCTCAGTGGTTCCGCTGCCTGCCTCGCAAGCACAAGGTCCCAAGTTCAACCCCTGGTACCAAAAAAAAAAAAAATACTGCAGGGAAATGGAAGAGAAGAAAAACTCTTCCCAAGGATGAAAGAATAGGTTGTCCTGGTGACAAATACAAAGATCTCTTATTTATTCAACAATGCAAAACTCAAACGTCTATATTTGAATATCATTCATAAAATTTTAATGTTTTACCAAATCATCTTTCTTGTTTTAAAATCACATAATGAATCAATCCCCAGTACTGGACAAAAAAAAATCACATAATGATGACATAATTTTCTTAAAGTTTCCTTTAATAATAGACATTTACAATAAAATAAATAAATTTAATTTATATTCTCTATGAAATGTTTATATGCAGGAAGTATAAAGGTATCTTTTAACTATAATATCTATTATTCTTACACATTCATAAGTTTATAAATCTGAAATAAAATTCTAACATTCTTAATTTATCTTTTAAAGGTACAATCTGAAATCAGTGAAATATTGAACCAAAGTATTACTGAAGTAGAAAGCCCACAATTTAGCCCAGAAAAAAATATATTATTCAGCACACACACTGAAAAGGATTTGGTATGTTATTCTATACCAATTATTCCTATATTTAGGTATTTCAAAAATGTTCCTACAACTAGTTTATCTTCTTCTTTACATTCTCCCCCTCTTCACAGGAAGAATGGACTATCAGAGATGAAAATAAGGAAACTCCTGTCTTGAAAGACTTAAAAGATGTGAGTTCACCTCCATGCTTTCTGCAGTTTTACCATTTCTTTTCAGAGGTCTGTGAGAGACATTTGACTTAGTTCAGATACTGAAAGATTCCCAAGTACATGCACATGCAAGGCAGTGGATGGACATAGACCTAGGATGAATTCCCTAGGTCAGTTCTAAACCAGAGTGACTATCACTGTCTCCACACTAATTAGAAATCACATTTCCAGGGGCCAGGGATTTAGCTCAATGGTTCCGCCCCCTGTCTCTCAAGTGCAAGGTCCTGAGTTTGATCCCCGGTACCAAAAAAAAAATCACATTTCCAGGATAGTCACAGTCCTAAAGTCCTCCATAACTAGAGGGGCTAGTAAAGGTCGACAATCACCCCTGAAGTAGAAATATTTGTTTTCCTTAAACTCCCATTTGATCTGTGATCTTCCTTACCTATCTATGATGGTCTCTTGAAGGATGCTAAATTTCTGTTTCTGAGTTGGCTGAGGTATCTCATCCCTAAAGAAGTGCAGTTCTAAGCAAATAGCTGTTGTGGTTCATGCCAACCTAGAGACATATTCTAAAAAGCATCTTGTTACATTTTCTGGAGAAAATAAACCATATTTGTTAGCATTTGTTTAGTGTAAAAATGGATAAGCCACTTGTTTGACTATATAACAAAAATCTTCCAAAAAATATTATCTTCATTTCTTGGCTGTGTGGCAAAAGACAGTACATTTATCGTGTACTTTTTACTGTTACTAGCCTATAGAAAAGCAAGAAGAAATCCTTTCTATGGAGAAAATTCATCATTTTGAAGATTCCAAGACATCTCATTCAATGGAAGAAAAATTCAGTAGCAATAATGTTAATAGTGTCTCTCAAAGTATAAATATTCCATCTCAGATACATTTCAAGGACATAGTAACTCTTGGGAACTTGAGAACTTCCACAGATAATTCAGCTTCAAACATAATTATGAATGCTTCAGAAAAGTCTGATATGTTGAAGAATTATAAAAATATTTATAGTTTTCTGCCTACAGTACCTCAAAATGTGATGTCGCAAGCTGATAAGATAATTCTTGACAAATCTAGAATTACTGTGCCTTTTCTGAAGCATGGATTTTGTGAAAATTTAGATGATATTTGTCACTGTATTAAACAAATGAAGGAAGAGCTTCAGAAGTCACACGATAGGGAACTGGCACTTACAAATGAACTGCAAACTTTAAAAACAGACACAAATGTTCAAAGTAATGATAAATATGACCTGTCCCCTACTGGCAAGGAAAAAATTAATTTTATTAAGGAAGAAAACATAAATGATAACTTAAATGAGGACATAAAATTAAAGAGAATTGCAGAATTAGAAGCATTAGTAAACAAATTACTGCCACTCAGGCAAACAGTATCAAAATTCCATGTACATTTTTGTAGAAAATGTAAAAAATTATCTAAAAATGAAATACACAGGGGGAAAAAGAATGAGAAAAACAATAAAGATATTCCTTTCACTGGCAAGAACATTACAGATATAAAGTTCCATTCCAGAGTTCCAAGACATACACTGTCATCCCTTGACCAAACAAAATGTGAAATAAAAGACAAAGGACAACCGTTTGTAGTAAAACAGGGATCAGTACTATGTAAAAATGAGAAACTATCCAGAGTCAATTCTGTTACTGAGCAGTGTGTTCCAAAAATTCAGTATTTACAAAATTACCTAAAAGAATCTGTGCAGGTACAGAAAAAAGTAACAGAACTGGAGAACGAGAATCTAACCCTTAAGACCAAAATTAAACCTCTTGTCTTGACCACACAATCTCTGATACAGAAAATTGAGACATATGAAAAACAACTTAAGACTATGGTTGAAGAAAAGAACACTATTCAGTCCAAGTTAATTAAAAAAGAAGAAGATAGTAAAGAGTGTCTTAAAGAACTTAAGAAAATAATTAGTAAATATAATGTTCTCCAAGGCCAAAATAAAACACTAGAAGAAAAACTGAGTCAACTTTCTTTGGAGAAGCAACAAATGATGGAAGCATTAGATCAACTAAAAAGTAAAGAACATAAAACTCAAAATGATATGGCAATTGTCAATAATGAAAATAATCGAATGAGTATAGAAATGGAAGCAATGAAAACAAACATTCTACTGATACAAGATGAAAAAGAAATGTTACACAAAAAAACATACCAACTTCTACAGGACAAAAGCTCACTTGAAAATGAACTAAAAGAAAATCAGCTGGAGCTCATGAAGCTAAAAGAGAAAGAAAGATTGGCAAAAATCGAGCAGAAGACATTTATACAAATAATAGAAACAGTTAAAAATGAAAAAGCAAGTCTTGAAACAACATTACAAGAATCTACTGCTGCCAGGCAAATGATGGAAAGGGAAATTGAGACTATTCAATCCTACCAATCCACTACAGAAGAGAATCTTCTGAAAGAAATAAAAAATGCAAAATCAGAAGCAAGTATTTATAAAAATAGTTTGTCAGAAATCATCAAGGAATGTGAAATGTTATCCAAAATGATAATGGAAATTAAGACAGATAATCAGATTCTAAAAGAAGAACTAAAGAAACATAGCCAAGAAAATATAAAATTTGAAAATAGCATCAGCAGACTTACTGAAGACAAAGTACTTTTAGAAAACTATGTAAGAAGTATAGAAAATGAAAGGGATACCTTGGAATTTGAGATGAGGAATCTTCAACGAGAATATCTGAGTTTAAGTGATAAAATCTGTAGTCAGCAAAATGATCTATCAAAAATGGCTCACATTCCAAGAAGAGGGAAATTCCATTTTGACAACTATGATACTTATCAAGACAGTTCTAGCCCTAGTAGGCCTTTAGCTCCTGATTTGAAAGGTATGTATGTTGTGACAGATTAGCAGAGATGCATATAAGATGCTTTTAACCTATTGAGCACTAACTAGAGTCCTGAAATAAGAAGAAAACTTTAGGATGAATATAATTTACTTTGGTAAGATTTGTATCTGATTTATTATATAAAAGATTATTTAGGAATTCTATTCTTTAGATAAAGCTCGTTTCATTTATATTACTTACATACTTTGAATATACAGAAGGCATCTTTGGCAGGGCACAAGGGTTTGTGAATTATTCTGAAGTGTACTTAGCATTTCTGCCTTAAAAATATTCTTTTTTTCCTTCCAGGAATTCCAAGTAAACTGTATCAATTGCATCCATCCAAGATATGTAAATAAATTTCTAAAATCAATGTTGCAAAAACTTTTGTCAAAGTACTTTTATCCCAAGAAAATAATTTTAAGTACCAGCTTAGTAATTGAGAAAGCAGTTAACTTGATGCCTAAGCTGTCCAGGGGTAGGATACCAGTGACCACTGACTTACCTCATCCTATCTGAGTCTCAACAATAAGGCTGTTTCCCAGGAGACCACCTAGTGTGTTTGTATTTTCAAAGCTAAAAGAATGTAAGAAAATTTTAAAAATGGGAACTGTAATTGTTACCTTGCAAATCAAATGTGTTCCTCTCCTGACACTCAGAAGTCTTAATTTGTTTACCTGCTTTACTATTTCTGTTATTGGTTTCTGCATGAATTTTTTTCTGTAAATTGATACAATTATGTAAACTGTAGATAAAACCTGCCAATTTTCATACTAGGACTTACAACCTTTAGTAAGGGTATCAGAAAATGTTCCTTTCTATGAATATTATGTAAGCATGCATTGCTTTAAAAGACATGCTAATAAAACTGCAGCTAACAAAAGACAAAGTTAAAATAGGCAGTTATATAGTTTTAATATAGTCTATAAATATAAATACATTATCTCAAAATGATACATATATTTATAAGGCTTATTTGGTAATATTATCAATATAAAACTATAAATCTGATTCAGTTATGTGGACCTGGTAAAGCTATTCCTATTCAGGACACAAATGGCACCTTTAAAGTACATTGTACTTGTGGTGGTGTTTTTTAGATGTCCACTGACCACTGATTAATTATAAAACATGAAAACTTATAAAACAAATTTATCAATAGTAAAATTTCTATGTACTAACTACCTTCACCCCTTTCAAAAGTCAGGTGGGCATGGTAATGCACACCTGTAATCCCAGCACTTGGGAGGCTGAACCAGGAAGATCGTAGTGAGTTTGATGGGCCACATACTAACTTCAAGGCCAGTCTGAACTACATATCAAGATCCTGTCTCCAAAAACAATCTGGCTTAATATAGCTTCCCCTTACTGGAAAAAAAAATGAGCTCAAAGGAAGAAGAGTCTTACAGCCTCTCTACAGACTGATTTCCAGCTCTGAGAAGCCTAACCTGATAGAGGGATAAGCATTAACCAAGCACCACTAATAGAAAATAACTTCCCCAACATATTTTAGTAGCATTTAGTAAAAAATGCTACCCACCCCAGCCCCCATTGAATGAAGACTGTGTTTATTGATCTCCCTATGAATTCCAGTAATATATAATATATTTTAAGAACAGACATTTTAAAAAGAGTACGGCTGGGGATTTAGCTCAGTGGCACTGCGCCTGCCTTGCAAGTGCAAGGTCCTGAGTTCGATCCCCAGTACCCCCCCAAAAAAGGGTATTGCCAGGTGAAGGAGAAGCGAGAATGTGGCAACTCAAGACAGGATTGAGGTAGGATGCTATCCTCTAGCTCTGGACATCTGGAGAAGAGCATTAGAGGACACCAGAGACAATGCTCATCCTGCTTGAAATCATAGATACTGAACCAAACCAACAAGTGCATCCCATCCTCCTCAACTCATGTCAGGTGCCATTGTGTAAATAATCTGATTATTTGCATAAGTTATAAAAAGAAGACAATACTACATATATTTAAACATTTGTCTCAGTAAGGTAAATATATACATGAATCAGCAGTATAAATGGATTTAAAAATATTTATCTCTGATATTGAGTATTTCGATAGGCTATGACCCTTAGGTAACTATTGATACATTTTTCAAATACGTACCTCTAAGAACATACAAGAATTTGCTATATAACTTCTACCCTGACTCCAGCTCCCTCCCTCTACCCCTACAATGTTTTAACATTAGGAATAAAAGCTTTTAAATGATAGAATACATTTTAAGATTTTATAAAATTTCTAAACATTATGTTGTGCTTAGAAACATAGATCTAAAACCATAAGTCAGCAATCACATATTATTAGCAAGTGATATTAGTAAAGTAGCAATACTAAAGTCAGAAAGAAAAATCACAGCTGTGGTTTTAAATTTCTTTTAAATGCATGGGCTATCTGTTCCACAAACTTTTCAATCTTTTTCAAATAATCATCTCTTGATAATGAGTGGTTGGGATCTAGGAAGATACTTGTCTTTTAGTTGCTAATATGCCTGGACTGAAGCATTCTTGTAGTTCTTCCTATTCAGTGCCCTAAAATTTGGAAAAAGAAGGCATATTTAATTTTATAGGTGCAGGTAATATGTTCTTATAAAAAAATTTTGCACTAAAATTTTTATTTTTGTTTTGGTACCAGGGATCAAACTCAGGTCTTTAGGCTTCGGAGGCAGGCAGTGGAACCACTGAGCTAAATCCCTGGCCCAAAAAATTTTTAAATTAATATGCTTTAAAACAATATTAACAATCTAGATACAAGATTTTCTTTTTTTAAGGAATATAAAATTATTTACTGACCACTGCTTACCATTATTTATAATAAAGTAAACAATATACAGTAGGATAACATTGTGACTACTACAAAGTTATTTTTCTGGCTTCTGCTGAAACAGGAACCCAAATACTGAAGATTGAGTCTACATGTAAGGAACAAGTTGGGGTCAAGAAAAACATGCAAGTCAATAATTTAGATTATAAGTTTGTTTACTCATTTATTCTAGCAGGACCTAAATTGTGACCACCTCTAGCCACTCAGTAGGTTTCCATGAGCCAAGTCTTAGACATCCATGAATCCTGACTTTGAATACAGATTTCAACTTGTTGTAAGGGTATGGGTCATGAGCAATCTTTAATGTTCCCTTAGCTAATTCAAACAAACCAGGTTGACTAGTTACCATTTTGCAAGCAAACTGCTGTATTTTTGTAACTAAACACACAGATATGGATTCTGATATGACTGCTTTGAAAATACCCACTTTAAGCTGTCCAATTAACCACAGAATCATCTATTTAACTTGAAAGGTTATGGCTTCAGGAAAACTTTCAATTTAACTGTGATTTATTTCTTAGGTTGCTCAGAATGATAGCATCTCAAACATGGGCTTATCACCCATAGTTTTTGTTTTGGTGAATGCTTAAAAACAAAACAAAAACCATTTACATAAGTATTTCATTTATACACACACAAACAAGAAACTCAGAATGGTCCTTAAGCATGTGAGCCAAAAATGAGTTCTGTTTGAGTTTGACTATGGATAATTTTCCCAATATTTAGAAAACCAGAGGAAATATATCAGGTTATCAAATGCTGTTTTCTGAAAAAGGAAGCAACTACAGAAAGCAAGCTTTTTATTTGTTCAAAGTAACGAGTGCTATTGATGTGAAACAAAACCCAACAACTTCCCCCAATACTTTCAAAACCAACATATTAAGCTTGATTTTCATTAGAATGCTGTTTTTTTCACAACAGTGAATCAAACACCAAGACCCATATTATATATATATATATATAAAATATATTAAAATGATATAAGGTATTGAGCTTCATCTTCTGGACAAGAATGCCAAGTTAGTCTCTCTTCATAAAAAGCAATTACAATTTGAGGACATTTCATATTTGCCTCTTTTGCCAGCACCAAGTCAGCCTCATCTGAATCTTTCCATTTCATGAGAAACATCGATTCTCCACTACTGTCTGTGGCACCAATTATTTTTTCAGGATCAAGACCTCTAGCAAATCCTCTAGGTTTGTCAGCAGCATCTCCTTTCTTTGATTTGCTTTCATCAGATTCACTGTCAGATAAAGATTTTCTTTTTGTACCGTCTTTTTCTTTACCAGCTTTTTAAGAATTAAGAAATGCTTCAATTAATTCTGTACAATCTAAATTTTCCTCAGGTTCCCATGTATTGTCAGCATCTGTAAATCCCTTCCACTTCAGTACTCCGCCTTCCCATTCACACACGACGGTCCAGTACTTTTTCTACCACAAATTCTTCAGGCTCTGCTTCCTCAACTTTTTCACTTTTTCCATTTTGTTTCTTTCCCATTTTTTGCAATGTAGTTTTATTGGAGGCCATTTTTTATTGCAGATTTGCACAGCTATTATTCACCACCTGGATGCTCGCGTCGCGGATGGGCAGCTTTTCGGCCTGCACGCCTGCAGCTGCACTCACATCAGACGAAAGGGGGCCCTGGTGCGGCGCCAGCTCGGGGGCTGGGGGGGGTGACGCCGCCCACGCCAGGAGATAAAGATTTTCTCACCAACTGAAAACTTTCTCTTTAATAAGGCCAGGTATTTTTATAATATATAATCGAAGAAGAAAAACAATTACGGAATTCTGTAAATTGTAACTGCTATGTTCAAAAGTTTATTAGTTTTAAAGTTAGTAATGAGGTTAAATTTTGACTTAGTTGGTATTTGAGATAATATAAAAAGATTTCAATAAATAAAGTTACTAAACAGAAAATAAAACTGATTTTTCAAAAGAATCAATTACTTTTCTCTTTTCCCCTGCTCTAAACATACATGCTAAAATACCACAGAACTTTCTCAGGATTTTTTTCCTCGAGATAGAAAGGAACACAGAATATCTGGAACCACCCTCACAACCACATGAAATCCCATCTAGCTGAGGGTGGGCATGATAAGGTGAATTCAATTTTATTGTCTGTTCTATTAGATAAAGTCAGGCAGAGTAATGATATCTGGGCATAGGACATAGGGGGAAAAAAGCTTGATATCTCCAATTTACAAAGTAGTCACCCCAGGATATTATTCCTGTAGACAACAGTTTAAACTGTACACATTCCCCTGGTATCTAGGTGTATCACTTGGCTATATAAAGAAAACTCAGAGGAACAGATGGGTTTTAATTTTTTTCAAAAAATTTGAATTTTGCTAGGTCAATTTTCTTTTTTCTTTTCTTTTTCTTTTCCTTTTTTTTTTTTTTTTTGAGACAGGGTTATGTAGTCCAGGCTGGCCTTGAACTGATGGCAGTCCTCCTGCCTCAGCCTCCCAAGTGCTGAAATTATAGGCATGTGCCACTGTGCCTGGTCACTGTGCCTAGGTCAATTTTCTTTACTTCATAAAATTTTCACCAAAGTACTTTGAAGAGAAGATAAAATGTGAATAAATCAGCTGTATCACCATCTGTATTATCACCACTCAAAATCTATCCCAAACCCTAGTCATTGAACCCACATAAGGAACCAGCAACACACGGTAGTCTTGAAAAGCTTGAATTAGCTAAATATTGCATCTAAAGAGGACTATTCATTTCACTTACATTTACCTCCCTTATAATAGCATCTCATAAGTCACAGATTTTGTGTAAATTACATAGTTTGACTTCTATTTACTATCTGATGATGATGTGGCTACTTAGAGCTTTTGGTCAAAGTATTTTGTATTGGAGTTTGAAGGAGTGGTTATTTTGTTTGACATAAAATATGAATGTACTGTGTTTTCAGATAGTTGCCATGATATTACTGTAATGGAACTGAATTCATGAGATAGGTGGGGTACACACCTGTAATCCCAGCTACACGGGAGACTAAGGTGTGAGGACCCCAAGTTTGAGCCAGCCTGGGCTACACAGTAAGACCCAGTGTCAAATAAATTCATGGGGAAGACATCAATTCCAATATTCCTAATGAGATGTACCCCTGGTTTAATACAAGTGTATGTGTAATAATCATGAGGTTAAAGGTCATAGGAACATACACAACATTCTGTAGTTAATGGTATTGACATATACAAATACTCAAGAAATAACTTCATTTAACAAACACTTTATACACTTGCCATTTGGAAAATAAGTAAGTATTCTGAAGAATAATTAAACACTTACATATATAAAATAACTCTAAGGTATAATATACAAAATGACTGTAGCATAAACAGGTTATGTAGATACAGTTCAGTATAGGCTCCATCTGAAAATATTAGTAAAGGTTTTATAGAAGAAATTATAGGGGCCGGGGATTTAGCTCAGTTGTTCCAGTGTCTGCCTTGCAAGCGCAAGGACCCGAGTTCAATCCCCGGTACCAAAAAAAAAAAAAGAAGAAAAGATTATAGAAAGAAGGTAAAAGACAGAAGAAAAAAATTTATTAGTAATGCATCGGGGCTGCTAAAAAAAATAGTGTATGCATTTAATATGGCTGAAGCAAAAGATACATTTCAATAGGGGAGGACAGAATGATAATGGGTTACACCCACACTGCAAAGGGCCTTCAGTTCTGTATATCAAACATTTGAACCTACATAATGTTTAATAATATACATATATTTTTCTCACAACATGTACAATTTTTGCATTTTTAATTAGCCAGAATAGTTCCTGCTTTCAGTGAGGTTATTTCAGAGTTAAGGACAGAACTCTCAACCATCATTTAGTCTTCACAATTGCTGAGAGACTCCTTTGGGAAATACCCCATGTTGACACATAGTGCAAATTGAAAGACAAGTACAGTATCTAAATAGTTTCAAATGACTCATATAAAAGTGTCTTCTACAGGCAGGTATAAGGAAAGTGCTGAGATTACTAAAGTCATTCAAATTTGTCATTTTCAAAAATGTATAAATAAATTATTCTAAAGAAGTCTAAAAGTTGAAAATATTTTTTCTAGATTTGGAAGCTAAATGTGAGTATTCCTACCTTCTGACATTCAGAGCCATTATACTTTCAGTTGGTCTGCTTTTTGGTCCACCTGATGGATGGAAAATCTTAGCGTCTTTCCTGGAAATCTCCTTTTCCAATTTAACCACATAAGGGTCAGCAGAATGTGATGGGTAAGCTTCAAAGGTTCCTGCCTTCATTCCACCAGCCTACAAATACCAATAAGACAATTTATTATGATTTTATAAAGTACTTCTACAAAGTTAGCTTGTGAAGAAGTTCATACATACTTTTGTAGTTTATGTAGTTAGTCTTACATTCAAAGAAAGTTATCTACACTGTTTGATTCAAATATCAGCAAAGGGTCTTCCTACCACCAATTTTTTTTTTTGCTTAAATTCTTTTATTGATACATTTTAGGTATACAATACATTTACATTCATCACTGGGTATTTGTACCTGTACATGATGTATCTTGGTTCTTATTTTTTCCCCATTCCCTGTTCTCTCTTCACCCCCTCCACCCTTCCCTATTTACAAAGACTTTGTTTCCATTTTTTCCTTTTCTCATAATTTTTACTTTCCCTTCTTT